TGCGACGATTTCCACGAAAATGTTTGCTAATTATTTATTAAAAAATACAGAGGATTTTAAAATTTTTATTTTACCAAAAATCTTGTTTAGTTTTCACGTTAAAATCGCTATGAGCAAAGGGAATTTTCTTTTGTACAAGTTCGACCAACAAATTAAGCGGTTTCAACGCGCCGGGTTGATCGAAAAGTGGAGATTGAAATATTCTAAAATTGAAGTAAAGGTTAAAAGCGATGATAAAGTTGTGTTGAAAATGAATCATTTAAGCGGGGCGTTTTATGTTTTATGCGTTGGGTATGTCCTCGGTGGGATTGTTTTTGTAATTGAGCGAATTTATTGGATTAAACGATGCAAAAAGTGATGTAAGTTTTAATACACTGTTGGAAATAATTCACGAGCACACCCTGTATAATCTGAACGCGTATGTCTAGCGGAATAAAATTTGGAATACTAAAGTAGTGTAACTTACTCTCACATGGAGAGCGGCACAACTCTGCTGGGAGATGAAACATCAATAGCGAGAGTATCCCCCGTGGCTTCGCGTACCATCGCTACACGACGTGGCATGGAGTCTATAAGTTGCTGTATTGTAGCGAGAGGGATGGCCAACTATGCCACCTCAACTCGAATCCATAACTCCAAAACGTAAGCCGGGGAAACCGGATAACGTTGAAGTCTCCGACCAGTCATTTCCCAAACATGTTCGATTGGAGTCAGATCCGGAAAACGAGCTGACCTAGGAAGCATTCGTATACGGTGCTCTTCCACAAAGGTCTGTACAATACGCCCAATGTGCGTTCGGACATTGTCGTGCATGTATAGGAGACCTGAACGCCGCCGAACGTAGGGAAGCACAACATCTACGTATCGTTGACCCGTCATGGCCTGCTATACACGAAGCAGACATGTACGTCCACCATGTGTAATAGCACCCCATACCATAATGCTCGGTTGTCGGTGGATAGGGCATTCTTGCACGCACTGCTCGAGTAGACGATCACCACGTCTCCGACGAACTAAAATTCGCGCATCACCGGTGCAAAACAAAATGTCCCTCTACTCGGCAACCCACTAATGCCTAGCGTCCACCTACTCGTGACGTATGCTGCGGTGCTCGGGTGTTACTGGAATCCGCTGTATCGCACGACGCGCGCGCAGTCCACTATCTACCAAACGCCGCCATACAGTTCGCGTAGTGAGTGAGCCTTCCCCTGCCGGTGGCCGAACAGCTCCAAGTTGCCTTGAGGAGGACGCACACGACGCTAAAGCGCTGAGCACAAGAGCGCGACCATTCTCGCTATGCCCGTTGCACTGCCGATAACGATCGCTCGAGACGACGCGCAATTTCACGGAACGATACACCCTCAATGTACATACCCACAAACATTCCTCGCCCAAACTCGCTTAAGTAACGCGATCGCTCATCCATTGCGCACAGAGTACGATAACAATGTGGTCCCTCACACCACACTAAAAACGACCGGTATTTTCCATCCACTTCGGTCTCCATAGCGACGGAAGGTTCCACTTGGAAGGGCGGCTCAGTCAACAATGCCGCGACGGAACAACTCGAAACTCGTTGAATAAACTCGTCTACAGTAATAAAGCTTTGTGCTCCGCAAATATTATGGATTTATCTTCACGCGTTCAGATTATATAGGGTGTGCTCGTGAATTATTTCCAACAGTGTACCTCCTAAACCTAATATCGTAACTTCTTCGACCTCGGCTAAATTCTATCAATAACTAGCAAAAATACGAGCCAAGGTCACTTGTAGCCGAGGCGCTGCCTTGATTACACTTAATTTTAATAATCTCGGCCGCAATGTATTTGGTTAGGTTCTTTGAATTCATTGTCACAACTTTTGATCTAAAGGATTTTTTGTAACATGCTTCGATTTTAGAATGTTACCCTTAGCTAATAGAAAACTAGAAAATTCATCAATATTTCGTACTTTTCTTCATATTGATACATTTGAGAGGAAAGTGAAATAGAGCAATATTATTAACCCTTTAGGTTTTGAGTGTCTTACGACCTATTGCCATTCAAATACTTACTTTAAACGGTACAAAATTTTGTACTGCACAGACGAGCGTCGTATATAAGCGTTGTTTTTACACACGTGGCCATTGTTCAAAAGCACCACCATGTTCTATATTTTTTTATAAGTGATATATTTTCCGTAATAAGTGAAACGGATGATTAGTATTGTGCACAATGTCCAACAGAATGGATTTTTACGTGGATAGCGGCGATGAAGAGGCATTTGAAGACAGCGGAAGCGAATATTTACCAAGTGAAGATGAAGAGTCTGAAGAAGATGATATGTTAATTGATGAATATCAAGATGTAATGTTAGTAGAAAGTGTAAATGACGACAGTAATCATGAACCAGAAATAATTTGGGGAGACAGCCTTGCTTCGAAATTTATCACACTAAAAACCAATACTGAAAGAAATAAAAGTTGCTGTTGTTCATATGTACAATAAATAATTTTCTGATTTCTCTTTTCATTATTTCTCAATAGATAAACAATTAAATCGGCTATAAACATAGCAAACATTTGTTGCCATACATATACAGCGGGCGTCTGTGCGGCAATAACATCAGTGCCGTCTGAGAGGTAAGTGAATAAATTTTGGAGCTATCCTTAAAGGGTTAAGAACAAAATTTGCTACAACTTTTGTTCTAAAAGTTTTTTTGTAACATGCTCCGATTCCAAATTGTTACCATTAACTACTTGAAAAAGCAACAAGTTCACGTTCTGATACTATTCTTACATTTCCCGTTCATAACACTGAACGGGTCAGTCGATTGCGCTGTGGAATGGACTGCCTTCTGAAATTCGTAATATTTCTAGAATTACTAATTTTAGACATGTTTTAAAGCGCCACTTGCTTGCCCTTCAGCTGGCTGTTTCCTGATTCTTTGTTCTTTGTCTTTCTCTCTTTTCCTATCTCCAACTGCTCTCACTTGTTGGCAATTGATATCCCGCAGATTCTCTCTTTTCGTGTCTTTTCTATATTTTTCTCTTTGTTTTTCCTTTCTTGCTTAATCTTATTTGGTGATGTAAATAATATCTAATTATCACTACTTGCTATATTCAGTAAATATTATTTTTATTTTTGTTTGTTCTGTTGGGTCATTTGGCAGAGATCGCTTGTGCGATAAAATGATCCATTTGCTGATACTGCTTACTGTTTAAGTGTATCTTATGTAATTTTGTACTTTTATCTGTGCATCAGTGACATCATATAGTGCCTCGGCCGCAAGCGACCTCGGCTTAGTTCCTTGAATCCACTGTTTCTTCTGATTAAGCCGAGGCGCTGCTATATGTTGTTCGGATTTGGCTTGATATGACATTAATTATAGAGCCTCGGCCGCAAGCGACCTCGGCTTAGTTCTTTTATTCCATAGGTGATTAACACCATATAGTGCCTCGGCCGCAAGCGACCTCGGCTTAGTTCCTTGATTCGAAAAATGTTTAACTCTATACAGCGTATCCCGTATCTTCCGCATCAGAGCATTATACGGTTGTAGAATACATTATTCTGAAGCGATCTTTCTAATAAAATTTTTTCGAAATGTTTATAATAACCGCACGGGAACTGTTTAAAGGAACTGTTTTTCGTCCAATCAGCAGATCGCAAATCAGACTCAAGTAATCGGTGCCACCCTCGGCCGGTTCGCTACGCCGATGATAACTCGTTTCCCACGTGTACTCACCAATAGATTTGTCATGGAAAGAGAAATAAACTTTTTCGATGAATCAAAGTCGTCCGTTATTGGTCGTCGTTAAACAGTTCCTGTGCGGTTATTATAAACATTTCGAAAAAATTTTATTAGAAAGATCGCTTCAGAATAATGTATTCTACAACCGTATAATGCTCTGATGCGGAAGATACGGGACACGCTGTATAGTGCCTCGGCCGCAAGCGACCTCGGCTTAGTTCTTTCATTCTAAAGGTGATTAACACCATATAGTACCTCGGCCGCAAGCGACCTCGGCTTGGTTCCTTTAATCCACGGTTCCTTCTGATTAAGCCGAGGCACTGCTATATGTTGTTCGGATTTGGCTTAATATGACATTAATTATAAAGCCTCGGCCGCAAGCGACCTCGGCTTGGTTCTTTCATTTCAAAGGTAATCAACACAATATAGTGCCTTGGCCGCAAGCGACCTCGGCTTAGTTCCTTGAATGCACTGTTTCTTCTGATTAAGCCGAGACATTGCTATATGTTGTTCGGATTTGGCTTGATATGACATTAATTATAGAGCCTCGGCCGCAAGCGACCTCGGCTTAGTTCCTTGATTCGAAAGATGATTAACTCTATATAGTGCCTCGACCGCAAGCGACCTCGGCTTGGTTCTTTTATTCCAAAAGTGATTAACACCATATAGTGCCTCGGCCGCAAGCGACCTCGGCTTGGTTCCTTCAATTTACGGTTCCTTCTGATTAAGCCGAGGCGCTGCTATATGTTGTTCGGATTTGGCTTGATATGACATTAATTATAAAGCCTCGGCCGCAAGCGACCTCGGCTTGGTTCTTTCATTTCAAAGGTAATCAACACAATATAGTGCCTCGGCAGCAAGCGACCTCGGCTTGGTTCTTTTATTCCAAAGGTGATTAACACCATATAATGCCTCGGCCGCAAGCGACCTCGGCTTAGTTCCTTGAATCCACTGCTTCTTCTGATTAAGCCGAGGCGCTACTATATGTTGTTCGGATTTGGCTTAATATGACATTAATTATAAAGCCTCGGCCGCAAGCGACCTCGGCTTGGTTCTTTCATTCCAAAGGTGATTAAGCCGAGGCACTGCTATATATTGTTCGGATTTGACTTGATATGACATTAATTGTAGTGCCTCGGCCGCAAGCAACACAACATCGGCTAGGTTTTTCTGCAGTACAGTCAATTCCAATAAAATGTCGGTTTTAATGATAATAAAAATAAATTAAATATTATTGTTTTTGTACATAAATAAAATTAAATAAATAAATATAATAAAATAAATTAAAAAAATGATTTTATAAAGCAGTGAATAAGGGGCTATCCTCAAACGCCCCCAAAATCATCGTAATCGCCCCCGGAGTAGCATACATCGGCAATTGAGATTGTCTTTCCGCCAAAAACTCCATAACCATCTTTTCCAATTCGCGTTGATACTCAGAATCCTCAAATTTATCGAAAATCTCATCGTACTGCTCCGGCGTTACATTATCGTTGTGGTTTTGCTCAATTTTCGCGACAACGTCTTCGATTATCGATCGACGAGGTTCAATCTAATCTCAAAAATCATTCAAAATTTATTTAAATTGAAATCAAGTTGGTTTACGATTAAAACGAACCGATGTTTGTAATAAAATATCATTAAGATTTTTCTCCAAGACTTCGAATCCATCGTCGAATAAAGCTTGAATCCACGGTTGTGAGAAGAATTTAAAAAAATCTTTGATTAAACCGATTTTAAAGCGGTGTTCTAAGTTATTGAATAACGCCTCGTGTTTTCCCCATAATAACGTCAAGTTATTGCGTTGTATTGGCTAAACTTTGATTAAATTAATTTGGTCTGTAAAATAATAAATGTTTTTTACCTTTTTGGATACCGCAATGATTGTTTCGATCGAGTGGAATTTGTTTAAGTGGAGTAAGAAGTAACCTTTTTTGTCTAAATCGTTGCAATCTCCCGTTGTCATAACATGGCCCTAAAAGAAATCAATTAGTAACATTTTAAAAGTCGCCAAATCAACAATTTTCGTATCTATTTCGATATTGACGCATCTGATTGTGAGAGCAAAAGTGAAAGAAAGCAATATTGTTAAGTTTTTTGATGATTTTGATGAAAACCTTGAAAAAATTGGAAAACTACCACGAGATTTCGGCCGACTACCGGAAAATGTTAGTCAACTACCGTCGGAATTTAATGAAATTGGAGGTTTTAAACAAGATGTTGATGATGAAGGAGATTAAAAGAGTCAGATTTATGATGGTTTTGATGATAACCTTGAAAAAATTGGAAAACTACCACGAGATTTCGGTCGACTACCGGAAAATGTTAGTCAACTACCGTGGGATTTTAATGAAATTGAAGGTTTTAAACGAGATGTTGATGATGAAGGAGATTAAAAGAGTCAGTTTTATGATGATTTTGAAGAGAACCTTGAAAAAATTTGGAAACTACCACGAGATTTCGGCCGACTACCGGAAAATGTTAGTCAACTACTGTGGGATTTTAATGAAATTGAAGGTTTTAAACGAGATGTTGATGATGAAGGAGATTAAAAGAGTCAGTTTTATGATGGTTTTGATGAAAACCTTGAAAAAATTTGAAAACTACCACGAGATTTCGACCGACTACCGGAAAATGTTAGTCAACTACCGTGAGAATTTAATGAAATTGGAGGTTTTAAACGAGATGTTGATGATGATGGAGATTAAAAGAGTCAGTTTTATGATGACTTTGATGAAAACCTTGAAAAAATTTGAAAACTACCACGAGATTTCGGCCGACTACCGAAAAATGTTAGTCAACTACCGTGGGAATTTAATGATACTGAAGGTTTTAAATGATATGGTGGTGATACAGGAGATTAAAAGAGTCAGTTTTATGATGATTTTGATCAGAACCTTAAAAAAATTGGAAAACTACCACGACATTTCGGTCGACTACCGGAAAGTGTTAGTCAACTACCGTGGGAGTTTAATGACATTGGAGGTTTTAAACGAGATGCTGGTGATAAAGGAGATAAAAAGAGTCAGTTTTATGATGATTTTGACGAAAACCTTGAAAAAATTTGAAAACTACCACGAGATTTCGACCGACTACCGGAAAATGTTAGTCAACTACCATGGATATTTAATGATACTGAAGGTTTTAAACGAGATGCTGGTGATAAAGGAGATGAAAAGAGTCAGTTTTATGATGATTTTGATGAGAACCTTGAAAAAATTGGAAAACTACCACGAGATTTCGACCGACTACCGGCAAATGTTAGTCAACTACCGTAGGAATTTAATGAAATTGAAGGTTATAAGTAGAATAGAATTTATTCGTGCAATTACAAATTTGTTTTACACCCACCAAGTTAAAAAAATCAATACATACGGTACCGATACACTACAATCAACAGTCATTACAGCCGATACTACCATGTCTGACAAAATAGGTTATATATTAAAATCGTCCTCTGAGTGGTCGCGGTCCAGAAATTCCGAAGAGGAATAAAAAAACCCGTTGTCAGCAAGAACCGCTTGACAGCCACCTTAAAAGCTCCCACCGAGAGGAGCGTTACCGATGCTGGCAATTTATTATAGAATTTAAGAGCAGCAAAATCGACACACTTTTGTGACTTCAAAAGTTTGGCATTACCATGTATAGAGAATCTTGCTACGTTTCTACGTACGTACAACAGGCAATCTGATAACTGATAAATGAAGCACGGCAAGAATCTCTGTAACTCGGACCACAGACTACCCGCACAGCACGTCGCTGTAATCGGAAAACTCTGTGCCACCCAGCACAACCTCCCAACGCCAATAACGCCTAAGACATAAGCGACTGACACAAGACATGATATGCCGACCTCAGCACAGCCCTCGACACATTATTGCTTAGAATTCGCAACACAAAAATGTTGCTAGTCAAACGTCCACCCAACCTATCTATGTGGGGTTCTAAACTACCACGAGATTTCGGTCGACTACCGGTAACTGTCAATCAACTACCAAGACAAATGACCGAAAACGAAACTTTAAAGAAGTTGTTGATAAAGGACAAAAAATCAACCAATTTTTCGAAAATCGCGAAAAATCCGCAAACTACTGCCAGCTGTTAGCCTAGTTTTGTAAGAATTTTGATGAGAACCTCGAAAAAACCAAGAAACTACCTCAGGATCTCGGTCGACTACCGCTAACTGTCAATCAATTATCGCAACAAATGAATAAAAATGATCATTTTATTGATATTGTTGATAGAGGACAAGAAATCAACCAATTTCTCGAAAATTCCACTGATTATTTGAAAAAAACCGACGGACTACCGCCCCAGCTGTCAATGAACTACCGCGGAAAATTGACGAAAATGAAAATGTTAAACAAGATCGATAAAGGACAAGAAATACACCAACTTCTCAAAAATTCTATTGACTGTTTGGTAATAACTGGGGAACTACCGCCAGTTGTCAATCGACTACCGCGGCAAAATAACGAAATTGAAAGTTTTAAACGGGATCTTGATGATAAATTACAAGAAAGCAGCTAATTTATTGAAAATGCTGATTACTTTGAAAAACCGGAGAACTACCGCAAAATCTCAGCCAACTACCAGAAAAATTTAGTGAACTACCGTGGGAAATTAATGAAATTGAAGATTTTAAAGGAACTGTTGATGATAAAGGAGATGAAAAGAGTCAATTTTATGATGATTTTGATGAGAACCTCGAAAAAATCTGAAAACTACCGCGGGATGTCAACCGACTACCGTTGCAAAATAACGAAAATGTAAGTTTTGAACAGGATGTTGATGATAAACGACAAACAAGGAGTTATTTAAGTTATTTTTAATAAATTAACTATTACTTACAAATCGCTCATCCATACTTGCAATATCCATCGGAACAGGAACCCCCGGTTTCCGAATTAATAAGTACTGAATTTTCGTGGGGACTTGAGCAAAAACTTCAACTGGTTTTCCAAACCACGGCACCAACATTTTCCCTTCACTCGTCGAGCACTCCTTAAACAACACATTATCGTCGTCTTCTTCATGCCCACTACTCGGAACCAATTTTTTTAAGATCATCCGGGCCAATCTCCTCCCGATTTCGCCCTGATTAAACAAATTGTGACGCATATGATCCGCGTAATACCTCCGGGGATACTTAGTTATCCTCCCCGCTGCGAAAATATTAGGATCGTTCGTTTCATAATTGGGACTGATCACCAACGCCCCATCAAAAATTAAATTCGCCTTGTTAAAAGCGGTGAAGGTAACTTTGCTAATTGATTTCCTTTGGTACATAAACGCGGCTTTCACGTTCATCGAGTAAGTCCTAAAAACTATAATGATTTAAACGGCAACAAAGATGATTTTAATTACCTCGTGTTTGTTTGAAACATTATCGATGTGACCATAAGATTATTTTTATCGAACGTCCAATCGCAAAATGAATAATTCTTATAAATTTCAATCCCTAAATTTTTAATTTCATTTTGAACCACCTCCTCAATTGAATTTTCGAACGCTTCGAACGTTCCTGAATCTTCGGAATATGGTGGGATTATAAAAATAAGATCTTCGGGGTTTATCCCACTTTTTAATAAACCTTCTAAGCAGCAATAAGCTTCAATACAATTTCCGTACACAATAAAATTACCCTTTCTTTTTCTATCTTCCGAAATCATTTCAATTCGACTCATAGCCCACATCGCATCAACCGTCGTATTAATAACAAAAACGTTCTCGGGACACTCTTGAATCGTCGCTTCCGGATTCTGCTTAATCTCAAATTCTCTTCGAACAGGTTGGAATTGAGTTCCGCACGTTAAAAATAACATATCATACGGTAGCTGGGTTGAGTTAACGGTGATCGTTTTTGCTTTTCTATCGATTTCGCTCATAACGCCCGAAACTACGTTAACATAAGTCGCCAATGAAAGCAACGATAAATAATGTCCAGACGTTTTATCCGACGTCACCGGAAACATCGATTCGTAAGTTGCGTTCGTTTCGAATTTGGGCAAGCCATGCGTTGAAACTAAGGTTACGTTGTTGAAGATTGTGTGAAGATTCGGGTTTCCGTTAAAAATTAGTTCTATTAAAAACGATAATCCGATTTCGCTTGCTCCGACGACGACTATTTTGGTGTTTATTTCAAATCTAAAATGGAAATATTAAAATGATTTCAATTTATTGTGTAGTAGAAAAGTTGAAAAAGAAGGATGCCGAAAACTGTGTATCGCAGAGCATAGTCGCAATATGGTAAGAAAAATTTGTGTGAAAGGTGCCGAAGCAAGAGAACGCCAAGATCTCGAAAGCACTCAGATAGTTTGAGAGTGTTGGAGAGACTTCACACAGTGAACAAATCGGGGCAATGTTTTGCTGTTATCGGCATATAAAAGAAAGATGTGACAAATACATCAGCTAACTTAAACTTAGGAACTGATTAACCAAGGTTAAGAAGATGCTAAGATACTAATATATAATAAGAAGTTGCCAAGCTTACTGATTTGATGCATCTGAGAGTAAAAGTGAAAGAGAGCAATATTGTTAAGAGTAAAATTTGCTACAACTTTAAAGAAAGAAATTAGGTTGGTATTCGAAAAGTTACTAGATCTGGTGACTTTTTAAAAAAGATAACTAGAAAAATCTTAAAAATCGCGCCACCTAGGGGCGAAAGGGGCGCGTGAGTTGTTGGTTGCCTAAAAGTGACAATTTTTAAGTTTGTCTGATGAACGATAGATGACGTTGTGTTATATTTTTAAATTTAAAACTTAATTTTTAACCTAATTTTTTTTCCCCCAAGTTTAAGTTGGCACCACTCCCTATACTTATAACATGGGAGCGTGACGTCACAGCGGGATAAGGGGGATTAACTTAAGGTCCAGAACGCTCATTATCTACTGATTTCAAAATGTTACCATTAACAACGAAATTCATCAAATTTCAATATTTTCGTATTTTTCTCGATATTGACGTATCTGAGAGCAAAAATACAAGAGAGCAATATTGTTCAGAACAAAATTTGCTACAACTTCTGTTCTAAAAATTATTTTGTAACATGCTTTGATTCCCGAATGCTACCATTAGCTAATAGTAAAACAAGCAAATTCAATAAATTTTCATATATTTGTATTTTTCTCAATATTGACGCATCTGAGAGCAAAAATATAAGAGAGCAATATTGTTCAGAACAAAATTTGCTACAACTTTTGTTCTATAAGTTTTTTTATAACATGCTTTGATCCCGGAATGCTACCATTAGCTAATAGTAAAACAAGGAAATTCAATAAATTTTCAAATTTTCATATTTTTCTCGATATTGACGCATCTGAGAGCAAAAATACAAGAGAGCAATATTGTTCAGAACAAAATTTGCTACAACTTTTGTTCTAAAAGTTTTCTTATAACATACTCCGATTTCCAAGTGTTACCATCAATAACTTGTAAAACAACGAAATTTATCAAATTTGGTAGGTAGGTTGGCAACGTTGCGTCTAGTATTTATTTATCATTATCATTAGAATACCAAATTTTAGACTAAATCTAGCAATAGTCTGGGAGGCGAGTCGCTGACTATAAAGGCGCTAAGAGGATATCCTCAAGAGGGAGTGCTATCACCTCTATTATGGTGCCTGGTAGTTGATGACTTGATGAACACCCTAACTAAAAACGCATTTAAGATTCAAGGGTATGCTAATGACCTGGTAATCACTATCCGAGGTAAATATGATTCAATCATAACTCAGCTAATGCAGAAAGCTCTACTACTCACCAGTACTTGGTGTAGAAGGAATGGGGTCAGCATCAATCTCAATAAAATCGAAATAATCCCTTTCACTCGGAGAAGGAAGCTACAAATAAAAGCACCCTCCATTGAAAGCAGAACTATTCACCTCAAAACAGAAGTTAAATACTTGACAGTAAAACTCACACTTAGATAAGGCGAGGAAAAAGGCCATCATGGCAAACCAGATCTGCCACAGGCTCCTAGGAAGGAACTGGGGTCTCAAACCACGAATAGCTCACTGGACCTACGTAGCAATAATCAGACCCATGGTCGCTTACGCCTCATTGGTTTGGTGGCCAAAAACAAAACATAAGACAGCTCTCACAAATCCAACGGTTAGCATATCTTAACATACCGGGTGCAATGAGATCCTGTCTGACGACTGCTTTGGAAGCCCAATTCGGCCTCACACCGCTCCATTTATATATACAAAAGGAGGCAGCCTCAAGTGCCTTATCATTGAAAACAGTTTTTTCACTCAAGTGGATGCAGGGTAACCTCAGAGTACACCTCGAGATCCTCAAGGTTGAAATTAAAGCAGATCTTATACCGACAGAATACAATTTCAACCAGCCGTATAAGGTCATGTTTGGAAGCAGGGATGATTGGCCCTCAACTAAAAAGAGGAGCCCTAGCCTGGTATACCGATGCTTCAAAGACAGTTAGATCCGGAGTAGGCATGGGCATCAGTGGACCAAATAGCCACATTAAATTGCCCCTCATCTCGGACATAACAATTATCCAAGCAGAGGTTCTTGCTATAAACTTCTGCACCGCTATGAACCTACAGAAGGGACAGAAAGGTGCATCCATAAACATTTTCACAGACAGTCGGGCCGCCTTAAAGGCAATTCAGGTTTACACGTGTGACTCCGCACTGATTAGAGAATGTACCAGCAACCGACAGAACTCGCTAGGGGCAATGATGTTACCCTATGGTGGGTAACATCAACAGCAACATTGAGGGCAATGGAAGGCGGACAAGCTGGCCAAACAGGCAGCGAACACGCCCTTCATTGGACCCGAACCTGGTTGTGGACTACAAAAAAGCCACCTAAAACAAATAATCAACAACTAGGAGGTCTCAAAGGTAGTCTTAAGCTGGAAAGAACTTCCCGGTCGCAAACAAGCGAAGAGTATGATAACTCCGTCGCAAAACAAAACCAAAGAGGTTTTATGCCTCAGCAAAGGGGATCTAAGGACGCTCCTCAAGCTACCTGACCGGCCATGCACCTCTAAATTACCACCTCTTCCACATTGGACAAGCTGAGAATTAAACTTGTGTAATAATTCGGAAATTATTTAATGGTTTTGGGAATAAACCATACGAATTGTATATTCCTGGCGTGCAGCCTTTTTCTTCTAAAAACCAAAAATCACGTCTCGCGTTTACGACCGACGTCCGGGGTGGTGACCAGACGTCGAAATAAATTTTGAGAAAGATTAATGTACAAGCAAATTTATGGGAAAACGTAGATAACGAAAAAGTCGTTAAAAATACAATAGACGTTAGAAAACGTAAAGGTTTGATGGCTCCCACAGTTTGGGATTTACGTGATGATTTTTGGGATTAGCTAGTGGCGGATGTTATCTTCTGGCCCCGAGTCAAAACTTGTTCCCTTCCCCAACTTTCCTCATTGGCTCAGAAAATTATTGTAAAACATCCGCCCCGTATTTTGGATTGGCCCAGGTGTCGGGAACATCCAGGCGATAGGAACGCCTCAAGAAGGTTTTTGCACCCCTCCAATACCCGAGGTTACTTAAGGGCTTGTAAGACCTTTTTCAGGGGATTACGAATTACGATCACAATCATAATCAGAATAATAATACCAATCACAAGAGGTTTTTGAGTCGAAACGTCGTCAGCGCTCCGTTAGATAGCAACTTAGAATTCGCTTTAACGCCAATTCTAAGTGTCGTCGTATATCGAGAACTGTGACTTAGTTTCATTTGCGAACATTCTTTGTACTTCGGGCATCCGTGTCGGTAATTGTGTTTCCACTGAGGATTTGGTGCAAGAGTGGTGTTGGAACCTTCCCGGTTAACTTCCGAGAAGCCACCAAAAAGGATCCAGGGTTGCGATCCATCGGCGTACCACCAAATCGGAATACAAGTCCTGAGTAAGTCTGTTTGCCAGTTTTCGTTATCACCTATCTGTCAACGAGTATTAGCTGTCGAGGTTAGATTCGGAAATATCTCTTTTTAAGTAACGTCGGGTCATAGATAATCGTAGGTAGATTATAAGGTTCATTTTTTTTGTTCATTATCTATTTTTACTTGTTATTTTGTTAATATAGTTTAAGTGTGGTTAGAACACTTGTTTTTTGATTTTCCCCTTTTCCTGGCAGAGCCTTAGTGCAAGAACCCACGGTTCTGAAATAGTGACCGCGCGCTTGTCATTTAGTTTTGATTGATTCGCTAGGATCAATTAGGGGTCCTTCAGACTAAGAATTAGGAAACGCGAAATACTGTTTCTGGTGGCAGCGGTATTACCAAAGGTCGAGACCGTTCAAAGGCGGCCTCACCACACTTGTCGACTATGCAAGGACGAGTCAGAAACTGCTGAACATATACTGTGCAAATGCGTCGCCAGAGGCCGTCTAAGACACAACATTTTCGGTAAAACTCCCTACTTACCTACCGACATAAAGGTGCAAGACCTCAGGACAATACTAAGTTCCATCAAGGACCTACATTTGCCTTAAACCTTTAGAGGGGTAAAGTTACAATAGATCATATAGGTCGCGGTAACGAGAGGGACTGTTCTCTTCAGCCCGGAAGGAATAATATTAATAATAAAACCTAGCAATTTAACCCCCTAAACCAATTTAAAAAAAAATTAAAAATTAAAATTTGGCAATAAATACATGAAAAGGTAATTAATAACTAATTAGTGTCTAATTGTCAACTAAGTTGTTTTTGTCAAATCGCCAGAAACTCATCCCAGAGGATTTGCCAAGTATGTCCCAGGACTAGTGGAGTGCTGCCTATCGTCGACATACTTCAGCTGGAAGGGGCAGCCATGGGATCACCTCTGTCTCCTATGATAGCCAATTTTTTACATGGAGGTATTTGAAGAGAAAGCATTAAAGAAGAGTCCTTGGAAACCGAAGCTATGGCTCCGTTACGTCGATGACACTTTCGTGATCTGGCAACATGGAAAAGAGCAACTCAGGAATTTCTAGACCACCTCAATTCACAGCACCCCATGATAAAATTTACCATGGAAACAGAAACTGCAAAACAGTTGCCATTCCTGGATGTGTTAGTCACTAGGAAGACAGATGGGGGCATGGAACTGGGAGTATATCGGAAGAAGACGCATACGAATAGGTACTTGCAGGCTTCATCCCACCACCACCCACAACAGAAGAGGTCCGGTTTTATCTGCCTTCCTTATATTTCAGGTGTGACGGAGTGAATTGCGAGGCGTCTGAAGAAGAATAATATCGTGGTACGATACGGTACGGTCAGCAAAATACAAAACGCTGTACCGATAGCCAAAGACAAACTAACCCCAGTAAAGGTAGGCTATCGTGCAGTTTCGGGAAATATTACGTTGGCCAAACTGGACGTAACATCGAGTGCCGCATCAAGGAACACAAGACTAAGGAAGATCCAACAATCTGCAGTCGCAGAGCATTGCCACAAAGGAGGACACAGCATGGAGTTCGAGAAAACCAAAATGCTAGCAAGAAACGGACATTACTTAAAAAGATTGACGAGAGAGGCGATAGAGATTCATCGACGTGGGAATAATATGTATAGAGAAGATAGTTGGGAACTCAGCCGCATATGGAAGATGCTAGTGAAGCCTTCTCCACCCGGATTTGACAAAAACAACTTAGTTGACAATTAGACTTAATTAGTTTAGTGTTAGTTCTAGTGATAGTGTTAGTTCTAGTTTTAGTTTAATTAATTAATATTATTTTTACCTGGATAATCCGCAATACATCGGCGTCGACATATAAACAGCATACGGTCGTTCATCGTGCATCATAACCGGCATAAATTCGCAATTTTCTTTATCGCTTGTATCAAATTCGGGGACCCTCGCAGGAAGCACCGGCATTAACTCATTCAAAACGCACGCCAACGGATCGAAGCGAAACATGGTGGTCCCTTCATCGGGCTCAACGAGATGTATCAACAAACTATAATCGGTTAAGCGATGCAACTCCAACAACAACCATCGCGAGTGTCTTTGAAAAATCGGAGACAACGCGAAATGTTTAATTCTCCCAAAACAACACGGTTTGTGTTTCGACAAATCGGTCATTCGCGACACTTGGTACCTATTGAATATATAAGCCGAATTATTTAAATCTTTTACATTAACGACACCCACAATCTCGTTATTCGCTAAAACAACGAACGTTTGGTGGTTATCGTAATGACTTGTTAGGTATTTGTGGAAAGTTTGAAACACTTTTAGCCCACTTCTCATCCTCGACAACAATTTTTTCACGTTTTTAACATCGTACAAAGTAGCTTTACGAATCAAAATCCTGCAATACAACGAGTTACGATGAACCACGTATAGTTCGTGCGCAAAGTTTGATCCCCCCGTCGGGGTGACCCTGATAAACATCTTCGTTAATAATTGAAAAAACGGCGCTGTACTTGGGATGCATAAAACGCAATAATCTTTATTCGGAAACAATTCAAACCCAGCTTGGAGCAATTCAACCAAAGATTTTTCATGCTCGGGCCAAGCGGCCAACAACTCCAAAGTAAACGCGTTAATCGGCCCGTTATATCTTTGATCTTCCGCTAACTTATTCAAAGTTGCGTAATAAGAAACCGATTTTATTTGGTCGTCGTCGAATTTGTCTTGATTTCGCACCCTTTGTAATTCGTTATCGTTAAAGTGCAATAAATTGGAGCTAAATTTGCCTTCAACGACGCCTTTAAAAACGATTTCTGATGGGTTAGGAGAGGTTTCGCTCGAACACGTCGTTTGAGGGATCAATATTGAGTATGATTCCGATGATGATGGTGATGAAAATATGCTAAATGAAAGTGTTTGATTTGATATCGATCGGTGTCTTGATACCGTTTCGACTGAATCCGAGTGAATGAAGTCGTAATCTTCTTCGTCTAAATAATCGTAGTCCTCGTAGTTGTCGGAATCGTAGTGCTCTTTATCGTATTTGTCGTCGAAATGAACGTGTTTTCTTAATCCGTAGAAACATTCGAGTTGGAAATAATTTTTTAATATCTCTAAATTAACGATTTCGTTGTAAATTATTATCCCGACGGCTAATCCTTCGTATTCCGTCACGATCGTGTGTCGGTTTGATTTTCCGTCGGATATTATTTCGGCCATATAAAATTCGCCGTACATTTTTTTCAATCTCTCACTATGCGTGTCGATTAAAGGAATTAAATCGTCGTTGTCTTCGATGACGGCTTGGCGAAGTTTGTAGTGTTTATCGTAATCTTGTCTTAGATAAAGCATGATTTTTTGGGAGTTTGGGCAATTTGAGGTGCTTGGTAAGTTTAGGCCGTTTAACGGTAAGAAGTCGACGAATTTTTTTTGGGCTGGGATTATAACGATTACGTATTGGACGAGAAGGAATTTTTTAAAAACTTTTTCTAAAACGGGTTCCAAAAATAATTTCAAATATCGTTGGTTGTAAACGGCTAAATGAACGAAAAGCGTGTTCGAACTGTTGGCGTTGTTTAAATTGTACGAGTATATGATCCATGGTACCCAATCGTCCGGTGGGATCGATCTTAAATTGGGGAAATTGTTAAAAAACACTCCAGCCACTATTTCACCTTGCCTTGTTTCGGCCACCAAAGTTATATAACTCAATTCGCTTAAACCATTAAATAAATTATTAATTAAAATAAAATAATTAATTTTTTGCTTACTAAGCTGCTTTGATATCGTCCATTCCGAAGTGTGAGTCTGTTGTTTTATCGACTAATTCGTTGAGGATTGGGAGATCAGAGAGAAGCGCTGCGCGACATCGCGTTATGGGCCATATTTTTTGTTGGTTGAAAAATGATGATGATCGGATTGAGGAATTAACGTTCGTCTCAAAAAATGATATGTTTCTAAGCATTTTAACAACAAGCTGGTTCTTGTTCAAATTATTTCTGGTTTTTTATGCTAAAAGAATGTAAAAATTATTAAAAAAGTGACAAGTTTGTAAACATTTTTTTGACATTGAACGCAACATTTTTTTTTACACAGTTGTCACCTCTGAATGTTAAATCGGAATAAAAATCGGGTATCTTCTTCAAAGCGTCTTCTTCGAATGATTCCATGTAGAAATTAGCTATAACTGGCGATAATGGAGCTGCCCCTTCGTACTGTTCGTAAAATTCACTAGATCTGGTACGTATCTGGTAATCCCTCGGGAATAAGCATTTGGCGGAGGCCATCCACAGCATCCTTAACTGGTGCCCTGGTAAAAAGAGACTCAACATCGAAACTTACCAAAATATCCTCAACATCTAGCTGTATACCTTTACCCGATTCTACAAAAAGTGTTGAATGCCTGACATGTATGTATGTAGTTTCACGTGGGGGTGAGTTACTCACAGCACTTAGGCCCCAGCGGACCCTTTGTACGTCCCCACAATTTACTGTTCATTCAAGGGTAAGAAAACCAGCCCAATCTTTTCATGAACGTTAATATAGAACAGAAAAGTATGTTCCTTATATCCGAAATTTGGAGCCATGGTACTCCGAAAATAGATTCCCTTAAGTACGCGAGGTTTGGACAGTCACAAACAATATGACTTACAGTCTCGTCTTCCATTTCACACCCTCTACGTATTCGCCAGCTTCATATAAAACATGTGCTTACGTAACCTGCACTGTCCGGTCAGGAAGTGGGTGAGAAGCCTCAAGTCACTTTTCGATTTTCCCAGAAACTGAGTAGATATCTTCCGGTCAGGGTAGAGCAGAGTTTTCTTAGCAAAGGCACCTACTGCTGTCCCATCCCATCTGCCGCAAAAAGCTCGGTGGGAGATCAAGGTTTATAGAACATAAGGTTACCTCACTCCCTATGCCTCTGTAGTATCGATTATTACCCCGCAAATTGACGTCACTGGTTCGATACAGTCAGAATAAAAGATAGCCTATACTGTGGTACAGTCTTGGGTACAGTCTATATAAAATATTTAAACCTCGCATCGTGTTGTGTTGTTCATAGAACCAGCTACATCACTGACCCACCTTGCCTCTCAGAGGAGGAGAATCGGTATTGGGTAACCTTATGTTCTATAGACCTTGGTGGGAGATGGAGTTTATCAGTTTTGATGCTGTATTAACAACTAGTGATACAAACGGTTCAGGGGAGATCGGTGACTTGTTAGCCGCCCGTTTCGCCAACCTGTCCGCATGATCATGTCCTTTAATTCCGATGTGTCCTTTTCGCCATTTTATCGTGACTTTGTTGTATACGTTTGCCTCTTCGAGTGATTGCCGACAGGAGTTCACCAACGATGATGCAGTATGATGCCTGCCAACCGCCAGCATAGCCTGTCTGCTATCAGTACAGATTACAACGTTTCTGCCGACTTTTTTGGAGTCGATAATCGCATCGGCTACTGTGTTTATAACAATTAATTCGGCTTGAGCAGTCGTGCAATACGATCCTAACGAAGTGGAAAGGTGCAGCAAAGAAAATTCCCGCTCCGGCGTTTTGCCCGAGCTTGAGTTGCTCTGGGGTATCGTTTCAATGCCAAAGTGTGGCTTGCCTAAGAAAGTAGGTGTAATGTAGTCTGTGCGAGCTTTAAGGAGGGGTTGTTTACTAACAGCCCCACTCCAGAGCTTGCTCCAGACTATTCCCATTTTATGCTTTTCATTTACTGATCGCAACCGAAGCAATACCATCACGGCCACCTCCCTGATAAAAATATCCAGGGGCAGCACGTTTAGCATAGTCTCCATTGCAATCGTAGGTGTATATCTCATAGCGCCTGTGATTAGCAGGCAGGCCAGTCGTTGCAATTGACGCAGCAATGTAGCTTTATATGCATGTTTTAGTGCTGAGCACCAAACTATGGCTCAGTGAGCTTTCGGATTTAATCCCCTGCCTGACATATGATTCTGTGTTCCGTGTAAAAGGAGATAGAATCTTTGCGAGATATTTGGCCAACTAGTATGTTGGAGAGAAGTTTATGAATCTTCGATAGTCCATAAATTCTTGGTGAGACCTGCACAAACAATCCTATCTGCTGTTCTGCTGGAATTCCTGTGGATTTGATCAGGTCCTTCATTTTCCTTACGATTCTGCCTGTGAGGTCCTTCTTAATCTTCCTGTAGGTGGCTAGGTCCAGTAGGTTTATCATTTTGTCGTCATATTCTTTCAGGTCCTTATTTTTGCATAGTATTGAAAACGTGTAGTTCACTGAAGAGTCGAAAACATCATATTGAATTGCAATATGCTGACGACACAAGTGTCAGCGAACTACTCGCTTCCTGTCAACTACAATTAGTTCTCTATAGACAGTCAATCGTAGACTATCGTTAAGAACTTATCGATATTTGTTAAGTTACTTATAAATAAAATGGTTTAAAATTAATTAAAGTCTTTTCAATAAAACATAGAAAACCATAAGATCACAAATTATTACATGTTGGTAAACTATTACTTTTCTTCTTTTGTATCCGGCGTTCCAGGGATTCAAACTTCTTGATGTGCGTGTCACGTATCTTCTGAAATTCACGATCAATCTTCTCCATTGTTAGTCCACTTGAAGTCGTAGTAACCACAAACTTATTTCTGCATCTTCATAGAAAGGCCAAACTGCTCCACAGCTTGCGTTGTCTAATTCGTGAGTTATCCAAATCCTTGATTTGTTTGTTGATATCATCCCCATAAAGGTTAATAATGTAAGTACGAAGGCTTTCACGACCGGTGTGAATTGAACTAAAATAAGAACTAAAACGAGAACTAACACTAGAAACTTTTGAGTTTTGCCGTGCGTCTTTCACATACACACTCTGTATTCTTCTACATCTTATAAATGAACTTAGTTTTCGGACTTGACGATGGCCAGGGTCACCATTTAACATTATTTACCACTATTTACTATGACTTACTATACCATACTATTTACAACTTAAGTATCCAAACTAAGTTAGGCAATGTCATTTTTGTTTACAAATGCTAATCAACCCAAGAAAGGATAATACCGTGAAGGAATGTTGAGTAAGGTTTTCTTTTGTAATGTCAATTATACTATGAAGTTGGATGAAATACAATATAAATTTAATCATAAATATTCAAATATATTAAGCATCTTGCGTTAATAAACGCGTATGTTCTGTAATGTTGGTGTTTCTGTTATTGTGTATCACATAGGAAAAAAGAAGTGAAAATAATACTGTTAGACTCAGTGCCACCATCTAAAAAAAAGAATCAAAAATATTATCATAAAAATTGAGTAACATTTTTTTAGTCACATTTTACCTCAATGCCTAATACACTTATAAAAACGATGGCGATTACTTTAATATTTTCATCGTTTATAATAATTATAGAATCATCATTTTTGGNAATGTAAAAATTATTAAAAAAGTGACAAGTTTGTAAACATTTTTTTGACATTGAACGCAACATTTTTTTTTACACAGTTGTCACCTCTGAATGTTTTCGATCTAACTCGCGAGATTAATTAAAAAATTATTTATTATTTAATAATTTACACTGTTGGAAATAATTCACGAGCCATAATACGAATCCATAATATTTGCGGAACATAAAGTTTCACTGTAGACGAGTATATTCAGCAAGTTTTGAGTTTTTCTGCAGCGGCATTGTTGACTGAGCCGTTCTTCTAAGTGGAACAGTCCGTTGTTATGGAAACCGAAGTGGGTTGGAGCTACCGATTTTTTTTAGTGTGGTGTGACGGACCAGTTTGTTGTCGTAATCTGTGCGCAATAGAAGGGCGTCGCGTTACTTAAGTGAGGAATGGTTGTGGGTATGCACATTAGAGGGTGTATCGTTTCGTGAAATTACGCGTCGTCTCGAGCGGTCGTTATCGGCAGTGCAACGGACATAGCGATAATAGTCTGAGCTAGGACATACGCACCTTCAGCCGCGGCCAGAACGACCCCGCGCGACTACAGCATGCGTGGTTCGCGCCATTGTGCTCAGCCCTTTAGCGTCGCGTACGTCCTCCTCACTGCAACTTGGAGCTGTTTGGCTAACGGAAAGGGAAGGCGCATTCACTACGATTACACATGGTGGACATACAGGTCTTCTACGTGTACAGCAGACGATGATGCATCGATACATAGATGAGGTGCTACGGCCCGTTGTGCTTCCCTACATTCGGCGGCTCCCACGTCTGCTATACGCACATCGTGCGTGTTGTACAGACCTTTATGGAAGAGCACCGTATACGAATGCCTCCCTGGCCAGCTCGTTCTGGCCAGGGAGGCCAGAACGGATCTGAATCCGATCGAACATGTTTGGGACATGTGTTAGCTTCTCCAGCTAACATTGAGGAGCTATGAAGATATATGCGAGTTGAGACGGCATGGTTGGCCATTCCTCCCGCTATAATACAGCAACTTAACACCCGTCAGTTGATAACTACGACTGCTATCGTTCTTTGCGTAATAGGTGCAATCACAAATGCAAAAATGCTAAAAAAAAATATTTTTATTGGAAATTATCTGTGTCGACACCAACTACATTTTGGAAGACCTTGCGATCTCTTGGCGTCACTGACAGCAAACTCACGCAATCCACTCCGGATCCTAACTTGTTGGCCAGCTATTTTGCCGAACCGCCGGTAACGCTTGACGCTACTCAGAAGGCTACCTTAATTCAAACCATTTGTGCATCAGAGAATGGGAGCGTGGATGATGCACGTAGCTTTTCATTGACTATGGTTGACTCGGAGGTTGTTCGTGAGGCTCTCACTCAAACCCGCTCTACGTGCTCTGGTGCTGACTTTATCTGTCTAAAACAGATCTTGCCAATACTAGATGCTGTTCTGCCTCCGCTGAATCATATTTTTAACTTTTCTTTTGAATCATCCTCTTTTCCATCTGTATGGAAACATGCTCAGGTTGTTCCCATTCCCAAATTGAAAACTCCAGTTTTGGCTAGCGACTATCGTCCTATTTCAATACTTTCTCTTTTGTCAAAGGTTCTTGAGCGTATTGTGTATACCCAGGTTTATGATTTTCTTGAGAAGCATCGATTGATTAGTGACAAACAGTCTGGTTTCCGACGGGGTCGTAGTACTACTACTTCCTTGATCAAGATCACGGATGATATAAGACTTGCCTGTGATAATCGTCGTCTCACTATTTTGGTTCTACTTGATTTCAGCAAAGCCTTCGACTCTGTCGATTACGATCTTCTTCTTTCTATACTTTCATCTATTGGTTTTTCTTCCTCGAGTCTTTCATGGTTTCATTCATATCTTTCGCATCGCACACTGTGTGTCCGTGCCAATTCAACCTTTTCCAACCGCTTTGAGCTTTCTTGTGGTGTGCCCCAGGGCAGTGTTCTCGGTCCGTTGCTGTTTTCTATCTTCATTGATAGTGTCACCAAGGTTATTTCTTCAAATTTTCATCTTTACGCGGATGACCTGCAGATCTATACCGATACAACAGTTGATGACTTTCCTCAAGCTATTGAGCGAATTAATAATGATCTTGCGAGAGTGCTTGAGTGGTCTAAACTATACGGTTTGAAGCTCAATGCTAATAAGACCCAAGCCATAATATTTGGTACAAATCCTCTACGGAGCAGGGTGGCTACTTTTGCTAACTCGCAACTTCTACTTGGTGACACCGTCATTAAATTTTCGGATGTAATTAAGAATCTTGGAGTTATGATGGACTCTGCACTGTCTTGGCGCCCCCAGGTTCAGGCGATTTGTAAGAGGGTTTACTCTTGTTTCCACTCCCTCCGTAAATTTAAGTGTTTTCTTCCACCTTACGTTCGACGCAACCTCTGTTATTCGCTGATTTTTCCACATCTTGATTATGCGGATACGGTTTGTACTGACCTGTCGATATCTTTGTGTAATAAACTCCAGAGATTACAAAATAATTGCATACGTTTTATATTCGATCTTGGGAAATATTGTCATATTACTCCTTACCGCAATAACTTACGTTTGCTTACGTACGTAAACCGTCGGTCCTTCCGTGTGTTAACAAGTCTCTATAAGATTATTAAGACTCAGAGTCCACAGTACTTATTTAATAATTTTAAATTCTTATCATCACACGAGCGTCCCACTCGTTCGCAATCGGACTTAATTCTTCTATTCCCAATACATCNAAAAAAAATTGGGATATTAAATGAATTTAATAAAAAATAATAAATCATGCTTACCAGGGAAATTAATAGAGAACCGTGGAAGGCTTTTTTAACCATACCAAATTCACAACACATTTTTTTAATAAAAGAATAGAATAAACCATAACATAAGATCCAAGCTCATGCAATGTTTGTATTAAAAATAACTTTAATATCATATCTTATCATTAAAGTACTCATTCATGAGAATACCGTATAACACCACTAGATGGCGCCCCGAAACAGAGTACTTCTTTACCATTATTGATAAATTTAATTATAATTTGAAAAAGCAACGAATTATAATAAAATCATAAAAATCTCGAACTTGATTGTATTTTAGGATAAATAAGTACTTACTGCAATATCGGGAACATTTCCTCGTTAAAATTCCAAGATACAAGCGAATTTCCCTGGAAAAATTCGGGAAATTCGGGAGCGATGTAAACCACAACAAACTTTTTAACCACTTTTTACAACATGGCGTCAAAAAAACAATTGAAAATCAAAATCTTTTGACGTCACATTTTAATTATTGAATTAATTTAAATAATTAAACAAGTAGGATTAATTAAAAAAGCATAAAAAATCATCTAAATGTATCGTTTATATTAACCAAATAAAATAGTTTTAATAAATAAGAAGTATTAAAAATTAATTTTCAAAATAAATCGGATTTAATTAAATTTTTAACTCAAAATTGATTCGTTTCATCAATCCAAACTAAAATGAATCGTTAAAATAATTTGTTAAAAACGAAATTTAATAAAAATTAATTTATTTTAAACGTAATATTTTTTTTTTACACGGTTGGCACCTTTGAATGTTTTCGATCTAAACTCGCTGGGTTACTTAAAAAATTATTTATTATTTAATAATTTATTTCTATTATTTATCTTTTTACCAATTTACTAATTTTTTTATTAAGTAATATTGCGAAATGAGTGATTCATAAATTTGATTGTAATCCTTTTTTTTAGGCGGTGAATTTGACATTTGACAGAAACGTAACCTCACTTTTTTCGCAATGGTTTGGGAGGAAGTCCAAATCGCTTTAAGCGAAAAAAGACGCGAATTGGTGTTAACTGGAAGCGGAATTACCGAGAGAATAAAAAAAAGTGGCCTTGATACTAACATTTTTAATGTGACAACTTTGAATTACCTCAATATCAGCGAGACAATTCTAGAAAACCTCCCCGATGATGTNATTTAGACGTATGGTGACGACTGCTGCACTGGCCTCGCCGACCGGACTGGTCTGATTATAGTTTGTCTAATTTTACATTAAATTTAATTTAATTACTTATATACATATATATTGTATAATTTTCATTTGGTTTGCGTCTCTGTATGTATTTTTTCTGGCTTATATTGCGCTGATATTTCTGTTTGATTTTTTTTATGTCAATGTTGTGATGCAGTATTATAGGGTTTGTCCCGTTCTGTATCCATTTGTATAAATAAATAAAAAATATCTGCGATGGTTTCTGTTTAACTTCGGGTGTCCCGCAGGGATCTAATCTTGGTCCGCTGTTGTTCCTGGCTTTCATTAACGATGTTACTGAGGTCCTGGACTGTTCGCCGACGATCTCAAAATCTTCTCGGCCATAAGTGGCAGAGGAAGAGGAATCTGGTTCGTGTATAGGGGTGGTGCTTTCGCCACCGTCTGGCGCTCAATATATCTAAGTGTTTTACGATGACATTCACTAAAAAGATTAGCTTGATCGATTATGTGTACCGCTTAGGTAACCAACCCTTGAATTGTGTGTCGAAGTGTAGACCTCGGTGGGTTCGACTATGTCCTGACGTTCAGTGAGCATATTCTCGATCTTGTGGCCAAGTGCTTCCGGATTTATAGTTTTATTGTGCGTGGTTGTAGAGGACTATCCGTGCAATGTTTGTCAACCTTATTTTTTGCTTTGATCAGATCTCATTTGGAGGACGCGGTGATCGTCTGGAGTCCGTATTATCAATATTATGTCAATGTACTTGAATCAGTCCAAAAAGCTTTTTTAAAATATTTAAGTTCCTGCTCTTGAGGTTTAATTTTCTGCTGTCTGCTTTGTTAACTTTACTTGTAAGATTATAAGGGGTGACGTGAACTGTAGCTGGTTGCTCGAGAGATTGCCATTCGTCATGCCGCGTATTAACGCGCGCTGTAGACACATCTTTTATACTAGTCACAGCCGTACCTATGTGCTACGTAATTCGCCGGTATCTTTAATATGTGAATATACAAAAAATATACAAAATGGTGATATTCGATTACAGAATATCACCATTTTGTGATCTATTCTGTGACCCGTTGAGCGCGATAATTAGAGCTACTTTAAGCATTACTAACACTTAAATATTAGGTTTCTATTAATAGTTTTTATTTCATTTCTTTGTTATTCAATTACGTATCTTTCTTTTTTAAGTTTTTCTGTGTGCTTACATTTACTATTGTGTTATATATGATTTCCTGTAACTGGGTGGTCACCTGTAGGAAATAAAGAGTTATTATTATTAATTCTTAGGAGAATGTTCTCCAAAAGTTGGCAGTAAATAAGCATGTTTACAAATGTATGTTTCCAAATGCCAATCAAGCCAAGAAAGAATGTTGGGTAAGGTTAGTTTTCTTTTGTAATATCGATAATACTGTGCAGGAATGTTGAGTCAGGTTAGTTTTGTAATGTCAATTATACCGTAAAGTTGGAAAAAATACAATATCAATTTAATCCTAAAATATTCAAATATATTAAGCATCTTGCGTTAATAAACGCGTATGTTCTGTAATGTTGGTGTTTTCGTTATTGTATATCATACAGGAAAGAAGAAGTGAAAATAATACTGTTAGACTCAGTGCCACCATCTAAAAAAAAGAATCAAAAATATTATCATAAAAATTGAGTAACATTTTTTTAGTCACATTTTACCTCAATGCCTAATACACTTATAAAAACGATGGCGATTACTTTAATATTTTCATCGTTTATAATAATTATAGAATCATCATTTTTGGTACGCAAGAAAAGCATAACGCCTCCAATTACTTGACTTACAATTATCATCACGGCACTAATTGCATACTGTTAAAATTTTAAAAAATATTATGATTGTAAAAAAGCGATTATTACAGATGTCTAACAGCGTTAAGGACGAGTTTTCGTTCTAGTTTTAATCCCATCCAGCCTAATGCTGTTAAAAACATAACTACACATGCGTTGACAAATAGGTATTCCATAAGAGGTGTAACTTTATTGATGGCATCATTATTAAACATTCTGCCCATTACGCAGGCCAATATTACCATTGATAAGCAGTTTAACTGCAAAAAAAATTGGGATATTAAATGAATTTAATAAAAAATAATAAATCATACTTACCAGGGAAATTAATAGAGAACCGTGGAAGGCTTTTTTAACCATACCAAATTCACAACACATTTTTTTTATGAAAGGATAGAATAAACCATAACATAAAATCCAAGCTCATGCAATGTTTGTATTAAAAATAACTTTAATATCATATCTTATCATTAAAGTACTCATTCATGAGAATACCGTATAACACCACTAGATGGCGCCCCGAAACAGAATACTTCTTTATCATTATTGATAAATTTAATTATAATTTTATATTTATTTCTTATACACAGAAAAGAAGTAATCTGTACTTACTTGGATTAAATCTTCCCGGAAAAATCGTTGAAATTCGTGAAACGGTGAAAAAGCAACGAATTATAATAAAATCATAAAAATCTCGAACTTGATTGTATTTTAGGATAAATAAGTACTTACTGCAATATCGGGAACATTTCCTCGTTAAAATTCCAAGATACAAGCGAATTTCCCTGGAAAAATTCGGGAAATTCGGGAGCGATGTAAACCACAACAAACTTTTTAACCACTTTTTACAACATGGCGTCAAAAAAACAATTGAAAATCAAAATCTTTTGACGTCACATTTTAATTATTGAATTAATTTAAATAATTAAACAAGTAGGATTAATTAAAAAAGCATAAAAAATCACCTAAATGAATCGTTTATATTAACCAAATAAAATAGTTTTAATAAATAAGAAGTATTAAAAATTAATTTTCAAAATAAATCGGATTTAATTAAATTTTTAACTCAAAATCGATTCGTTTCATCAATCCAAACTAAAATAAATCGTTAAAATATTTTTTTAAAAACGAAATTTAATAAAAATTAATTTATTTTAAACGAAATTTTTTTTTTTACACGGTTGTCACCTCTGAATGTTTTCGATCTAACTGGCGAGATTATTTTTAACAAAAAATGGATTAAAACCTTTAATATAACCGATAATCAAACGTTTACCTAGTTTTTTAACGGTATAAATCACTTTTATTGCGTAAATGATACAATTAAAATTATAAACAAATTTTTTTTTAGGTTATGTCAAAGATGATCAACGAAAACGTCGAATTACAACAATTAGTTGAAGAAGATATCGATGAAGAACCAAAAATACATAATCCCAAGACAAAATTGGATAAGAAATGGTGTCGTTGCCCTTATTTAGGCTTAATCTTAGCTATGTTAAGCTCGTTATTCTTTTCGTTGTGTTCTGTCATTGTAAAATGGTTAACGGATATAGATCCAATGGCTTTAGCGGCTTATAGATACTTAGGAGTGTTACTTCCTGCCATACCAATCGTTATTTATAAACAAGAAGCTTTATTTCCCGATGGAAAACGCGTCATTTTATTATTACGATCGTTCACAGGGACGGCCGCTTTAATGCTAAGTTTTTACGCATTTCGGCATATGCCTTTAGCGGATGCCTCTGTTATTGTATTTTCAGTTCCAGTTTTTACAGGAATTTTTGCAAGGATTTTTTTGAAAGAACCGTGCGGATTATTTAGTATTTTCTCGATTATTTTAACGTTAATCGGAGTCGTTTTAATAACAAGACCGTCGTTTTTATTTTACGACACGATCGATTCGTTGGGAAATTCGCAAGAAACATCAACGATTTGGGGGGCCGTAGCCGCTTTTTCAGCCACTTTATTCGGAGCGAACGCTTATGTTTTATTGAGAGCTTTAAAAGGAATTCACTTTGCGGTTATAATGACGAATTTTGGTGCTTTCGCTTTAACTTTGTGCGTTATTGTAACGTATTTAATTGGGGGATTGTGTTTGCCGATGTGCGGGATGGATCGTTATTTAATTGTGGCGTTGGCTTTTTTTAGTTTTTTGGGGCAAATTTTATTAACCATCGCTCTCCAAATAGAACAAGCAGGCCCCGTTGCTATCGCGAGGAGTAGCGATATCGTTTTTGCGTTTATTTGGCAGGTTTTATTTTTTGAGGAGATTCCCAATAGGTTCTCAATAGCCGGGGCTTTTTTGGTTTTAAGTTCCGTTGTTTTAACGGGATTAAGAAAATGGATTTTAGCTTTACCCGAAAACGCTACGTTGAGGCACAAATTTCGAATTTTAGTGAAATGAATTTCTTTGTAAAGTGAGGTTAGTTTTTTTTTCTAGTCAGTTTTTAAACGTCAAATATGACAACTGTCATTTTTGACGTTTAATTTTCCTTTAATTTTTCTAGTCGTTTTATTTAATTTAATGAGAAATAAATAAATTAACAACTGCCTTAAGTATTACCGATCTGTAATGGTTAAAAAAGTGACACAAAAATTATTAATTAAAGTTTGAAGAGCCTTAAAGAAAATTCGAAATGATAAAATCGCGTTCTACTTTACCGTTCACTTTTTAAGACCAAGAATAACAATAATTACTTGTAGATTTAATAAAATTATAGTAAATTTCATTCGAAAACACTGCTATAATCCTGTTTAAACGGTGTTTATCCTATTATTTAATAAAAAAAAA